GAGTTAGGGTTTTTATTTTGTTCCACTTCTCTCTCTCTCGTTTGGATTTTCGTTTCTTTTTCACAGGAGAATTACGGTAGGTTCGTCGGGTCTTGTATTTTCGCTGTGCTATGATTCGACAACAGATCTGGAAACTTTTGTTTGTATTCTGAAATCAAATCGACTTTTTGTGTTAGGTCTTGAAGATATGGCAGGTAAAGGAGGGAAAGGGCTTATAGCTACAAAAACGACGGCTGCTAACAAAGACAAGAAGAAATCCGTCTCTCGCTCTGCTCGTGCCGGTATTCAGGTATCCCCTCAAAACCCTAGCTCCTCCTCGATTGTTGAAATTTCAAGTGCTTTTTAGAGTTCGATGTGCTTTTTAGGCTTTTTCGATTGTACGTTCGATTGTAATTTGGGGATTAGAAGAGAATGTTGCTTTGGTACTTTATCATAGATCTTGAAAACAAGATTTGTAATTTTGTTCTATGGTAAATGCGTTACTGGGAAATTGCTGCCACTTGTGTATACGGGAAATATCTGAACATGTTTTACTCTGTGATTCTTTAATAGAAGTAAACAAATGTGTGCATTATACTGGATTTTGGTAATGTCAATGCCAAAGAGCATAGATTTGGTTTTTCTCATTCTTTGAGTAAGATATGGAACTAGCTTGCTTTCTATGTAGGGGTTAACAAGCTTTAATTTGATATCTCTGTATCGCTTATTATACTTGTGTATGATGAAATTTTGTTTTATCCTTTTCATTTCAAGACCTTGACTTGTGCTTGCTGGCTGCTGCAATGCTTGGTTTACAGTTGTACTTTCAGGGAAATTTCTATATTGAGACATCGCTTTGTTGTTTTGCCTTCATATATTGACACTGCTAATGAATCCAATTAGTGTACTACCAATTGATGATACCAGCCCTTAAAATGTGAAATCACTGACTTCGTAGCCTTCTCTTAGTAGAGAAAACTCTCTGCTGCACAATTTTACCTTACAGTATAAAATTGGAGCATCTACTTGTGTTCTTTTTGACTTTATGCCTGATCTTTTTGTTCTGGTTTTTGTTTGTTGCTGCTGTTCTTCTGGAAATCTAATCCAATCATTATTCAGTTATGGTCATTAGTTTCCTTCTGAATCCATAGAAATCCATGTTTCCCATATGGTTTTATTGTAGTGGTGTCTTTCAATATGATAGTCACTTAGACGTTGTAATAACTATAAGAGATAGATGAATGAAGTCAAGTAAATAAGAGAACTTTGTGGTTAGTTTAAGTGTCTTCTGTTGTATAGTGTATTTGCTTATCAAACATGTATTTAGCAGTTTGAATATATATTTACAAGAAGTTATATGCTTATACAGTTTTTAAATGTGTCTTATTTCAGTTCCCAGTGGGTCGTATTCATCGTCAACTCAAGAACAGAGTTTCTGCGCATGGAAGAGTTGGTGCCACTGCTGCTGTCTACACTGCATCGATTCTGGAATACTTGACTGCAGAAGTTCTCGAGTTAGCTGGAAATGCAAGCAAAGATCTGAAAGTGAAGAGAATAACTCCGAGGCATTTGCAGCTTGCAATCAGAGGAGACGAGGAGCTTGACACTCTCATCAAAGGAACAATTGCTGGAGGTGGTGTGATCCCTCACATCCACAAGTCCCTCGTCAACAAAGTCACCAAGGATTGAGTTTCGATCTCTTAAAGTCCGAAGTCTCGGTTTACTATATGCGTTGCTAGTTAATTAGTTATGATAGCTTTTCGTGTTTGTGTTTAGGATTGAACTTTTAGTTCATTGATCTAGTGTGCTCTCTTCTGGACATCCTCATGTGTATATGGGTTATTTTTTAACTCCTAGGTTTCTCGTTTTAGACTCGCGCACTCTTATGATCTTGCTAATGCTTTCATGATTATGGATGATGGTTCTAGACTTCGTTGGTTTTCTAATGGTTAATGTTTCTAAAAACCGACAACAAAAGCATTCGATGGCTTCACAATTTCAAATAGTTATACAGAACTAGACAGACACACATGATTGTCCCATGGATTAGTCCTCAAGCAAACACACATTCCCTCCTCATAGATTAAGGAGAACAATACCAATCTTAACTACCACACAAAGAGTTAAGGTAATAAACCATACAAGTTTCTTCCTTTACTCTTAGGTTCTTAACTTGTAAGTAGATAAATAAAAGCCATTCACCTTCCTTTAGTTGCTTTTCTCAGAATCATCCCTGGGCCTGCAGCATAAAGTTGTTCATAAGCAGAACTTGCAACAGATTAGTTTTATTAGCTGAGTTAAGAGCTTTTGATGATTACCTCAGTTAATTGCAGGCTTGAAGGTGTCTTCCATAGCTTAGAAATGGTTGCACTGTTTCAAATGCCTCGACGAGCAATGCCACTTTCCTCTTCCTTGCTGAGGAAAGTTTTGTAACTGCACGCTGCAGAGCATAATCAAGCATCCAATCCTCTGAGTTTTTCCTCTCATCCATGTCCTGATGCTTGAGGTCTACCTTCTCGCTATCCGCCTCAGCGACAATTGGAAGGTAATTGGGTTCTCTTGGGTTGAATTCCCTCAAATCCTCGGTCTCTGCAACGGGTTTCTTGCATTTGATGATAGACCATGAAATGGACGCTTCTGGCTCTTCTTGGTTGCAGGGTTTTTGTTTACGGTTATATGGAACCTTTTCGGTTTCTTCCATCATCGATATAACTTCCA